GCCACTCTTAGAAGTAATGTCCTCTATTGGGTGGAATTTGTTTTGTTATGTTTCTTCTGATCATTTTGTCTTTGAGCTAGACTAATAAACGTGGGACTGCTACAATGATGAAGCATATTGTTGTTTATTGGATATAAACCCATGAATATGTGGTTTCTGTGTGCTTTCTTCATCCAAATACCTTTCTTATGGACTTCATATTTTAGGCTTTAAATTATTAAGTTGTTGATTCCATATCGTTCACTCGATATTTTGAGTTTGTAAAACCCTGGTATTTATTAATCTCATGAAGCCATGAATATTGTCTTTTAGGTGGTTTACATTCACTTCACTTAGGTTTGTATAAATCCTTGAATATGTGGTTTCTTTGTGCTTTCTTCATCCAATTACCTTTCTTATGGACTTCATATTTTAGGCTTTAAATTATCAAGTTGTTGATTCTATATCGTTCGCTCCATATTTTGAGTTTGTAAAACCCTGGTATTTGTTAATCACATGAAGCCATGAATATTATCTTTTAGGTGGTTTACGTTCACTGAACTTAAGTTTGTATAGCAATCAGGGTGTTTATAGTGTTCTGTTAAGATTGAGGGAGAGTGAAGTGTTGATTTGAACTAGAGATGAAAGTCAAACACTCCAGAAGAATTTTATTTGGGTGGAGGTTGGTGAATGAACGGTCAAGTGCTTGGAACTGAGAAGTTCATGGTCATTTAAGGAGGTTCATTGCCAGCATTTAACTGTCAGAACCAACCAAACTTAAAATTGCACTTTAAGTGCACTACAAAGTGATGCTAATATCAGACTAGGAATCCTATTTCATCTTATAGGCTTTGGCAAACCATGGGATGCATGCAATCTAGGTGGGTTCTCTGTTCTAGCCACCAAGCCTGTAACGTGTACATTTTCAGAAAATTCACCACCAACGCAATGCTAATGACCTTACTCTTATCTTTTTTACGAGTTCTCTTTTAACTAGATTCTAGTTTCATCCGCTCTGTTTATGGATTGTAACTGTAAGATGGGAATCTAGAGATTTTACCTTCTATTTTCTATCTCAATAACCCTTTAAGACCACCATCTCCTCCTTATCTGATACATTGAGGGTCCTTCCTAAATAAGTGAGAAGGATCCCGTTTCGATAATTGCCACATGCTATGACTTTTACTTTAATTCAATTAATATGTTCAGCACTTAGTTAATGTTATTTGCTAAACGCTAGCTGTTCCTTTATTGGAGTTTGTGGTAGGATAGGCATTCTAAGTTTTTAAATTTTAATTGTGTAAGATACCCATTGTAAGTACATTTTCTTAACTACAAGCTGAATTCAATAATGGGCTCGTGGCATCCCTGCTCGCTCTCGTCCATCTTCTTTTTGTCTCCATTCTCGCAGTCAAGGGAACAACATAATGGAAGTCACTAGCTCTCCCACCCTTTCCCCCTTAAATTTTGAGTATATCTTAAATTTATTCTACCTGTTGTACAGGGTCTGGTTTCGTTGTTTTTTGGATAAAGTTATATTTTGAGGTTTCAGGCCTGGCAAAATAGGATATTGATGGAAGAGACTTGTAACAACTCTTTCAGTCATAGATGCTCCTTATATATTGCAGAAAATGATATATCTGCTAAAGTAGATAAAAGGACAGGTTCAACCACACTTTTGATCTTCAAAATTAACTAGTTGAGAATCTCCAATTTGATCATTTGGGTCTTAAATTGGTACTCCTTGTTCTAATTTTGCCGGACAACCTTGACAGGCATTGTAGAAAATTGAGGAAAGTATTTTGTATAGTGATCAATTTGGATTCACTGTGTTTTTCCCATTGATTAGAATAAAACTGTAAGTCTGCTTAAATAAACTAATTTACAGAGGGTTCTAATACAAATACAATTACTTTAAACAAAACCCTATCCTATCTAATAGATAAGAGATAAGATACAAGATTTATTTAAACTACTTAACAGATAAGAGTTAGATTTTATCCTAAACTGTTAATAGATAATATTTACAATAGTTTAAAACTTTAATCCTTATCATTTACAACCAACACTCCCCCTCAAGCTGTTGAGTATACATTGTAGATTCCCAGCTTGAATATGATTTCATCAAAGATAAATCTTGGCAGTGCTTTGGTGAGGACATCAGCTAGCTGATTTTTAGTAGAAACAAAGTTCAGCTTTACTATCCCACTATTAACTTTTTCTGAGATGAAATGTCGATCAATCTCCACATGCTTAGTTCTGTCATGATGAATTGGATTTTTAGCTATACTAATTGCAGATTGACTATCACAAAGTAGCTCAAACTTATTGTCTTGACTTGGTTCTAATTCAACCATCAACCTTTTCAACCATATACCTTCACAAATTCCAAGTGCAAGGCCCAATACTCGGCTTTTGCACTACTTTTGGCAACAATCGATTGTTTCTTGCTTCTCCAGGTGACTAAATTGCCCCAAACCAGAGAACAATAACCACTAGTAGACCTTCTATCATGTAGAAAATTGAGGAAAGTATTTTGTACAGTGATCAATTGGATTCACCGTGTTTTTCCCATTGATTAGAATAAAACTGTAAGTCTGCTTAAATAGACTAATTTACAGAGAGTTCTAATACAAATACAATCACTTTAAACAAAACCCTATTCTATCTAAGAGATAAGAGATAAGATACAAGAGTTATTTAAACTACTTAACAAATAATAGTTAGATTTTATCCTGAACTGTTAACAGATAATATTTACAATAATTTAAATCTTTAGTCCTTATCATCTACAACCAACATGCATACATATTTTGCTAGCATACAATTTTTTACCTGTGAACTGTGATGTCAATGCTCTCTCTGTCTCTCTCGGTTTTCTGAAACTTTTTTGTGGCCAGGCTATAAGTCATGAGTTTGGTGTTTTTTACTCGACAGGAAGCGCTTATTCAGCATGATAAATGATCTTCCGACTGTCTTTGAAGTTGTAACTGGAAGGAAGCCCATCAAAGATAAGCCCACAGTGGAGAGTGGAAGCAAATCGCGAAACAGCACAAAGGTGAATTTGTGATGCCCTCTCCATTCATGAGGATAATGAAACCAATTCGAACCATTAAATGTGGAACTTTGTATCACTGTTTCTTCTTTCATTTGCTTAGCTTTGTATTTATAATTATACCTTTTTGCCTTTTAGAGGTCAATTGATGGACAGCCAAGAAGCAATCCTAAGTTAGCTGATGAAAATTATGAGGAGGATGAAGAAGAGCAGGGTGATACATTTTGTGGCAGCTGTGGGGGAGGATACAATTCTGATGAGTTTTGGATCGGCTGCGACAACTGTGAACGGTGGTACCATGGGAAGTGTGTGAAGATAACACCAGCCAAGGCCGAACTGATTAGGTTTTACAAATGTCCATCATGCACAAAAAAGGCGAGGCAGTAGCAGCCGAGGGAGGGAGGGGCTAACCCGATCTGTTTTATTCACAGATGTTTTAAAGCAGCACAGCTAAAATGAATGCAAATTCTTTTGGTACTGAAAAGTCCTTCCTGGAATTGCAAACCAAACTACTTTGGTTCTTTAGGTACATGAATGAGATGCAGCGAGACATAAAATGCATAGGGTTTGTGTAGATTAATGTACTTTTTATTACTGTAACTTACATTTTCGTGTTCTGCAGCAGTGAATGCAGTCTTCCAGTTTTCAAATCTTGGAATCTGAGTTGATACTTCTTTAGTCCTAATGGCTGTTTCAGGTGGCCGATGGATCAAATATTTACGTTGATCAGTTCCTTGGATATCCAGATTTGCCTTGTGTTTTTCTAAGTTGAGGGCAGGAGTAGTTGCCCAAGTCCAAAGGTTGGTCTGGTGTTCAGACAAAACTATATGGCATTTGGTATATCAGATATGGGTGGAATGGAACTTGTGATTCCTACTTTTGGTTCGGTCCCACTTGAGTAAATATATATACATACGTCTGTAGTTGAATCCACAATGTTCGGTTGGTAGAGCACAAGGTTCTTAATCTTATGGTCGTGGGATCGAGTCCCATTAAGAGCAATTCATAACGGATGTCTTTCACGGAAGTTGTTCTCAACCTGACGTTAGGGGTAACTTACTATTCTACCTCCCCTACATATGGGAATAGGATCAGCTAATTTTTTTTGTAGTTGAATCCACACACTTTGGTTTAGCTAGGCTAGGCAAGTAGTTGTAACATCATTCTTTTTAATGTTTTCTTACCTTTTTATAAAGAGAAAATCGCCTCAGTGACCAAAAAAAAGTTATAATATACGATTTTAACCAACTTTTTTTGGATTTGCCAAAATGACCAACAAAATCGCAACGCGAAATAAAAATCGCAACGCGATCCCCAGAATCGCAAATCAGTTTCCAAAATCGCAACGCGATTCTTGAAAATCGCGATGCGATAGTACAAATTCGCATTGCGATTTTCAATAATCGCAACGCGAATATGAAAATCGCAACGCGAACACATAAATCGCAACGCGTATCCGTAAATCGCAACGTGTATCCGTAAATCGCAACGCGTATGGGTAAATCGCAATGCGTATCCGTATATCGCAACGCGTATCCGTAAATCGCAACGATAATACATAAAATCGCAACGCGTATCCGTAAATCGCAACGTGTATCCGTAAATCGCAACGCGTATCCGTAAATCGCAATGCGTATCCGTAAATCGCAACGCGTATCCGTAAATCGCAACGATAATCCGTAAATCGCAACGCGTATCCGTAAATCGCAACGATAATCCGTAAATCGCAACGAGAATCTGTAAATCGCAACGATAATCCGTAAATCGCAACGAGAATCTGTAAATCACAACACTGAAATTTTGGGTATATACACTGAAATCATAAACTAAATCCCTAAATCGCAACTCATTCCATCTCCATCTATCACTCTCTCCGGCGACATCCGTTCCTATATCCAACGACATCCTTCCCAATCCGGCAACAGGTTTTAGTTTCGCAGCTCGTCTGTTTAGTAAATTAATTTACAACCATGAAATCATCTGATCATGTTTGGATAGATTTGTGTTTTGGAGGGTCATGGGATAATGTTCATGGTGTTTTACAATATATGCCTTTACCCATGAATCTTCAACTAAAATTGTCTTTACAAAAGTTAACTTATGAAACTCTAATGCTACGTGTTTCAAATAAATTGAATTTAGAGCCCCTAAGTGGATTTAGGCTATCTTATCAGAGAAATGGTAAAGTTTATTTGTTAACCGACAATGAAGATGTTGAACGATTCATTGCTTACATTAGTGTTTCACAAGATGATGTTACATTGTATGTTGTTGAACCTAGAAGTAGTATTGTTGGGTCAGTAGCGGGTAGTAATCAACTAAGTTTTTCTCAAAACCCACAACCTTTCTCTAATCCAAATCCCAATCAACTTTCAGCACCAAATTCCGGTTTTCGTATTGACCAGTTAGACGATGATGAGCCAACAGAAAAAATTGTGAGTACTAGTCAGTATTCGAAATTTGGTCTTGGTCAATATCCGGACTTTGATATTGGTCAATACACGGATTTTGATGATGTTTCAGAAGAAGAAACAGACCATGTGTGTAATGATTTTAATATTGGTCAATACCCGAATTTTGATGATGAAACACCCGTTGCCGAGGAAGATGTTGTTGATGATAATGAGGAGGAAGTTACGACTGTGAATGAACATGTTGAACATCCATTCTGTAATTCATATAATCCTGAAGAAGAAAAGAAGAAGAAAAAGTCCCCGAAGAAAAGAAAATGCCACGGGAGTATAACTGGAATATGTCAGAATTACTTCAGTTACCGGAAGAAGAGTTGGCAAAGAAAGCAGTTGATTGTTACACAAAAGTTATTCGTGTCAAGAAAGATGATTGTTTTGATACAAAGGAAGACTTGAAGATAGCTTTGTATACAAAATGTGTGGAAGATGGCTATCAACTAAAAGTTAACAAATCAAGCAAAGATCGTTTCGAAACAAGGTGTATGATTGACAAAAACTGTACGTGGCGTATGATTGCAAGAGAATAAAGATTGCAAAATGTTTCAAGTTAGGACTTTTATTGATAAACATACATGTTCAAGAACCCAAGTTTTTCCTCACCATAGACAGGCAAACAAAAAGGTGTTGGGTGGTTTTCTGGCTGAGTTAATGTTTTTGAATGGCAGGGTATATCGGGGACATGAAATTATGACTGACATGAATGCTCGGTTCAAGATTAGTATATCATATTCTCAAGCTTGGAGAGCCAAATGTTATGCCTTGGAATTGTTGAGGGGGTCGCCAGAAGCATCGTTTGCCCAACTGCCGGCTTATTGTCACAATTTAAAGCTGAAAAATCCTGGGTCGGTAACTCATATCAAAACAGATAGAGATGGACGCTTTGAGTTGCTGTTTATCGCCATTGGTGCTACGGTTAGTAAATCAATATAATTTGTTGACTCATTTTTGTTAGTTACATGCATTTCACATTTAAATGATTATATTTCTTGTGTATATTATTTTGTAGATTCGTTCGTTTATTACTTGCATGCGCCCAGTTATTATAGTTGACGGAGCACATTTGAAAGGTCGATACCTTGGAGTAAACTTATTAGCAGTAGCCATGGATGCTAACAATGGGATATTGCCAATAGCTTACGGGGTTGGCAAATCTGAAACCTCTGATTCATGGACATGGTTTATGGGGCATCTTAGGGATTGCATAGGTCCTATTAGCAATCTGACAATCATATCCGATAGGGCAAACTCAATTGACAACGCTGTTAGAAGGTGTTTCCCAGATGCTTTTCATGGACTTTGTGGTGTTCATTTGTATAGAAATCTAAAATCAAGGTCTGCTGGTATAAAAAAGCACAAATGGACATACTGGAAGGCTGTAAAAGCTTATCGGGAAGTGGATTTCAATAAGCATATAAATTGTTTAAGACGTGTTTTGCCTCAGTGTGCTCAAACACTAGAAGATGTCGGGTTTGAAAGATGGTCAAGAGTACATCAACTTGGAGCAAGATATGGTTTCATGACGTCTAATAGTGCAGAATCAATCAACGCTCTAAGTCGTCATTCCCGGAAATTACCCATTACTATGTTAATGGAGTTTTTTCGAGCCTCTATTCAACAGTGGTACTACAAGAAAAGAAACCATGCAGGTATTATTTCTTTGAATTCGTAACTTATCATATTATATATTTTACTAAGTATTGTTTATTTAAATTTACAGGAACATTGGAACATCGTGTTACACCATGGACTGAAAAAAAGATAACGAAACGTGTTGTGAAGTCAACGTCATGGAGAGTTGAACCATGTTCAAACACTTTGTTTCAAGTACTGGATAATAACTTAAATGGGCTAGTCGATCTAAATGCAAAGACGTGTAGTTGTATGAAATGGCAAACATCTGGTTATCCGTGTGGCCATGTTATAAAAGTTGCTCTTCATTTAAACCAAGATGATTCAAGCGCATACGCTATGGATTGCTACACTACAGAAGTTTATCGACAGACTTATGCCGAGATTGTCTACCCTATTCCACATCCTTCTGAGTGGGACATACCAGATGACTTACAAACAGTTTTGCCACCAGCCATGGACAGAAGGCTACCTGGCCGACCAAAAAGTCACGATCGTATACCGTCTAAGGGTGAAGAGAAGAAGAGATCGACATGTAGTCGGTGCAAGGAAAGTGGTCATACAAGGTTGACATGTGGATCACCAGTGCCATCAAAATCATCTTTTCCTCTACCAAAATATGGATCCTCATCAAAATCCAAAGCTCATATGGTGTCAAGCAAAAGGCAATCATCTTTAAAATCCCAATCACGATTGGCTTCACCTTTTGAGACTGTTAACTTAGGTGATTTTTAAATGCAAACGTTGTATTATGTGGATTTTATGTGTGAACTTTTAACATTTTCAGTTGAATTAATGACTCAGGCCAACCATTTTGACTTAACCAACTCTTGTTATTCAGTTGTTATCACTATTAGGCATGCATTTGACTATCGCAACACGGAAAATACAATCGCAACGCGAAATGAAAATCCCAACATGAAAATCGCAATGCGGAAATGAAAATCGCAACGAGAGAATCGCAATGCGAAATGAAAATCGCAATGCGAAATGAAAATCGCAACGAGAGAATCGCAATGCGAAATGAAAATCGCAATGCGAAATGAAAATCGCAATGCGAAATGAAAATCGCAATGCGAAATGAAAATCGCAACGAAAGAATCGCAATGCGAAATGAAAATCGCAATGCGAAATGAAAATCGCAACGAGATAATCGCAATGCGAAATTATAAACGCATTGCGATTTTCATTTCCGCATTGCGATTTTCATTTCGCATTGCGATTCTCTCGTTGCGATTTTCATTTCGCATTGCGATAGTCATTTTTGCCTTCAACATAATGCAGATTGAAATCAACAAAATCAACCATTACATTTCAATCAATTAAACAAGCACAAATAAGAATTATGTTCGCATCAATTACACAAATCAACTTTTACAAATCATCTTTTACAAATCAATTAAACAATCAAAAAATAAGCAATAATTCTTATTTCCGATCATCTACTATTGAATCAACTTTTACAAATCAATTAAACAATCAAAAAACAATCAATTAAACTATTGAATCAACTTAGGTGATTTTTAAATGCAAACGTTGTATTATGTGGATTTTATGTGTGAACTTTTAACATTTTCAGTTGAATTAATGACTCAGGCCAACCATTTTGACTTAACCAACTCTTGTTATTCAGTTGTTATCACTATTAGGCATGCATTTGACTATCGCAACACGGAAAATACAATCGCAACGCGAAATGAAAATCCCAACATGAAAATCGCAATGCGGAAATGAAAATCGCAACGAGAGAATCGCAATGCGAAATGAAAATCGCAATGCGAAATGAAAATCGCAACGAGAGAATCGCAATGCGAAATGAAAATCGCAATGCGAAATGAAAATCGCAATGCGAAATGGAAATCGCAATGCGAAATGAAAATCGCAATGCGAAATGAAAATCGCAACGAAAGAATCGCAATGCGAAATGAAAATCGCAATGCGAAATGAAAATCGCAACGAGATAATCGCAATGCGAAATTATAAACGCATTGCGATTTTCATTTCCGCATTGCGATTTTCATTTCGCATTGCGATTCTCTCGTTGCGATTTTCATTTCGCATTGCGATAGTCATTTTTGCCTTCAACATAATGCAGATTGAAATCAACAAAATCAACCATTACATTTCAATCAATTAAACAAGCACAAATAAGAATTATGTTCGCATCAATTACACAAATCAACTTTTACAAATCATCTTTTACAAATCAATTAAACAATCAAAAAATAAGCAATAATTCTTATTTCCGATCATCTACTATTGAATCAACTTTTACAAATCAATTAAACAATCAAAAAACAATCAATTAAACTATTGAATCAACTTTTGCAGCTCGACATCATTTTCACGCAGTTCACTTCTGAGATTAACCTGCAGAAACCAAACATTTGTTCAGACAACACTTTCTACAAATTATTGAATTCTAGTTACTTAACCAAACATTTTCAAACCAAAAGTATATAAACTTACCAATTGTTTATGGACATTTTTATAACGCGGATGCAGGTAGGCAACGTCTCGTATATATCGATTTAGCCATATAATGCCGAAACCACAAGCCTACTGCAGCTTTATCTCTATCGGTGGGAGGTAGATACTTGATGCTTCCCGTCGTCAAACGCTCCAACGCCAAGCATACGAGAGGACCACAATCTCCTCTGGCTCCGCTCGTTTGTTGTGGCGCGGTCTCGTCTCTAATAACTGTAATATTGAGCTTCTTTGGCTTCTTGTTTCCAGAACGAGTCCAATAATTGATCGCATCCAAGAATTTAGCCAAATGAGAGCTCCATCCCTTAATAACATCTCTTAAATCAGCCAATGATATGTAATTTATCATGCTGTCATACACTATTGTCTTAAGGGATGGGAGCTGAAGCTCGACGAGAATCCAATGTTTACGTTCCAAAACAGGGATAAACACCTGCAATCATAAGTAATAATTCATTCATTTGCGCACTTATTTCATAAAACCTTTAAACTCAATCTAAAATAAATACTAACCTTATCGACCTCCCACCATGCAGGATAAAGTTTAGCTTGTCCATTGCCCAAATCAAATGATTCATCTCGTGCATTCTTCAAGTGAACGGCGTGAAAAGACGTCGGCATTATTGTATATCGTATATTTTTATTTTTCTTAAGTTTTCTTATTATTAGAAGACGTGTCACCCACGCATCGATATGCTGTTTTACAAAAAAAGACATATATTAGTGACTTACATAAATTTAAAAAAAAAATTAATCAAATTGAAATATAAGAAAAATATAAGACTTACCCCCCCATCGAAATAGCCATTGTCTTCGACCCCTAATAATACGCCCCACCAAGGCCGTTCAAGCAACAAAAAGATATCATCGGTGAGCTTGCATATGTCAGTGAAACACCCCTTGCTCCGCTCATGTAGATAAAAATCAACTGCGGTCTTAGCCCAAAGGGTGTTATCCAAAATTGTGTCCGGTAGTTGTTCCCTCTCCTCTTCAGATACCGGTATGGTACTGGCCGGTAACTCATACGAGAGCCAACTTGAATCCATCATGTCCGGCACGACAGAGGGTTTCTCAAGAAGCCTACATATGACGCCATGTGAATCGGGCTCTTGAATGGTGGGAGGGACCTCTTCAATGATGACAGTGGCCTCTTGAACGGTGGGAGGGGACTCTCGAGGAATGATATGGGGGGCCTCTTCAACGATAGGAGTGGACTCTTGAGGGATGACAGGCGAGTCGGGCTTCTTCTTGCGGTGTCTTCGCACTATTGGGGTGTACGGAGACTTAATAGCACGTGCACGCTGTCTGATGCGTGAACTCCGTCGTGCAAGCATAACCCGACGTAAAGCATCCACTCTATCGGGCCGCTAAATAATTAAATACAAAAATCAGTAAATAAACAGACATGATATTTAAACAGTGAAAACAAAGACAAATATGTTTCAAACTTGCATTGTATTCACCCAAGTCATTATTCTATCATAGTTCACAAAATGCATCAGATAACAAAGAAAAATATGTTTCAAACTAATACCCTGAAGTTAGTATTTGTTTTGTCTATTGGTTGAAGTAAATTTATCCATTCAAGTTTCAATTTGCAGAAGAAGAAATAGTTTACTTTCGCAACACGAAACTTAAAATCGCAACGCGAAACCAAAATCGCAACGCGAAATGAAAATCGCAACGACAGAATCGCAATGCGAAATGAAAATCGCAACGAAAGAATCGCAACGCGAAATGAAAATCGCAATGCGATTTTGGTTTCGCGTTGCGATCTTGTAGTTGCGATTTTGGTTTCGCGTTGCGATTCTGTCGTTGCGATTTTCATTTCGCGTTGCGATTTTGGTTTCGCGTTGCGATTTTAAGTTTCGTGTTGCGAAAGTAAACTATTTCTTCTTCTGCAAATTGAAACTTGAATGGATAAATTTACTTTCAACCAAAAGACAAAACAAAGACAAATACTATTTCACAGTGTTAAAGAATACACAGTTTAGCAGAATTGGCAGCAACCGAACAAATTTACTTTCAACCAAAAGACAAAACAAAGACAAATATATTTCACAGTGTTAAAGAATAGACAGTTTAGCAGAATTGGCAGCAACCGAACAAATTTACTTTCAACCAAAAGACAAAACAAAGACAAATATATTTCACAGTGTTAAAGAATACACAATTTAGCAGAATTGGCAGCAACCGAACAAATTTACTTTCAACCAAAAGACAAAACAAAGACAAATACTATTTCACAGTGTTAAAGAATACACAGTTTAGCAGAATTGGCAGCAACCGAATAAATTTACTAAGCAATCTAAGTGAAATGGCTAATCTAAGTGAAATTACGAGTAAATTTATCATTAAGTTAAATATGGAAAATCTTAAACTTACCTCGTTGCGTAGAGTATGAACCTCATTCTGCAACGATACTATCATCTCACGTAGAGCGGCAACCTCACCACGTAAAGTTGACACCTCCACACGCCATGCACCATCGTTATCGCGTAGAGTACCGATCTCCTCACGCAAGGCATTGACCTCATCACGTAACTCCCTTGACTCATCCCGTTGAGGTGGAGGTGGAGAACAGGGAGATAGGAGTCGTGGCATCTTTGCCGGTCGCCTATCATGAGGTGATGGTGGAGAAGAGGCTCGATGATGTGACGGGATAGGTGATGGCTCTCGTTCTAGAGGTGTATAGTCGTCACGATCGGGTGATGGCTCTAGGTGAGGTGATGGCTCTCGAATTGGAGGAAGTGGATGCTGCTCATCATCCGTGCCATCAAAAAAACTCTGACTAGCTTGCCACCAATCAGTGGCAAGCTCTTCCTCCGTGGGTGACAGTCTTTGTAATGGAATGTTGGCCTCCTAAAATATAAAAACTCAAACAAAGTTAAACGTCTACTATTAATAACTTGTTTATATATTATATGAAAGTATTGTGTTAACTTACATTATTTATTGTGGCATATGGTATTAAGTCTTCCCAATCCAACAGAGTTTTCCTCTTCCAGGAAATAGCCCTGGGAATATCATTTGACGTTTTTATTGCATATGTACGCATGCTGGGGAAAGCCTCGAATATCCAAATCTACAAACAATATAATAACAAAATTAGTAATTGTTAAATAATTAATTATAATTTTAGAAACATTATATAGAAATTCTTACCTTAAAGGCCCAAACAAAGCCTGACAAAGTGTATTTGGACCCATCGCCCCGCAAACTTTTGCGGTCATCAAAGGCAGACGACAACTTAGTCCAGGTAGCTTTCCATATATACGAACCCCACGGAAACAGATTCCATGCATTCAGGTCCTCTACCAATATTATTAGCTCCCGATGAATAGGTTGTCTGGCCTCTCTGCCTAAAAAGCCGGCATACACAAGTAGTAGAAGGCATACTCGGACAACATCGACGTCTTCCATCCGAGTGAAACCAGCTTTCTTATTAAATAATTTCTTCAGGTCGTCGACATGTAGGTTCGGCTTCTCCATTGACTCATCCGGAAAAACCCGGGATAACCATGATGGGCGGGCGATATGACGAGTGTACCGGCCTACATCATCGTGTCCGAATCGTAGACCAGTGATTAAGCAGAACTCCTTCCGCCCAAAGCAAGTATACGCTGGTGGAAAATGAAACCATATCTCTTCCTCACCACGTTGTATACTGTCGGGTAGATTTGATGTCATGGTCTGAAGCCACAAATGGGTCAAATTAGCATCTCCACCCGGATGCTGTACTCTCAGCCATGGCCCGAAGCAGGTTTCCTCAAACAATTGTCTTTGAGCAGGTGAAAGCTTCTTTGCAATTGTAGTGGCCAGGCTGACTTTATTTCTCAAGGTCAATTGAGCCGAAAAAAATTTCTACAAAAACAATAAACATACCAAGTTAGATATACCAAAAACAATAAACATAAAAAGTAGTAGTTTATTCTTGAAACTAAAATTTGCAACACTGTTTTGTCTTTTGGTTGAAATGAAAATCGCAACGAGAGAATCGCAACGCGAGATGACAATCGCAACGAGAGAATCGCAACGCGAAATGAAAATCGCAACGAGAGAATCGCAACGCGAAATGAAAATCGCAATGCGATTTTGGTTTCGCGTTGCGATTCTCTCGTTGCGATTTCATTTCGCGTTGCGATTCTCTCGTTGCGACAGTCATTCTCTCGTTGCGATTTTCATTTATCTCGTTGCGACTCTTCTGCAAATTGAAACTTGAATGGATTGCATTACTTCAACCAAAAGACAGAACAAAGACAAAGACAAATACTAACTTGAAAATCGCAACGAGAGAATAGCAACGCGAAATGAAAATCGCAACGAGAGAATCTTAACGCGAAATGAAATCTAAGTGAAATGCTTAATCTATTATTGAAATGACCAGTAAACTTATCATCAGTTTCAATATGAAAAACCTACAATAATGCAAACATTTCAAAATAAAAATAATTAAAAAAACTAACCCTCGGAGGTTGATTTTCCATTTCTGAATATTGTGAGGGATTTCTGACCGTGAATGGTTGTGAGGGATTTCGCCGGAGATGGGGACGGAAATCTTCGGAGATGGGGACGGATTTCTTCGCCGTAGAGAGTGAGAGATGGAGATGGGACTGAGTTGTGCTTTTAGGTTTTAGGTTATGAGTTGCGATTACGGGATTTTGTCTTAATATTCTTTTTGTAATTTGAAAATAAAATACGCGTAGCGATTATAATGGCGCTTTAAATATCGCGTTGCGATTTACGGATACGCGTTGCGATTTTATGTATTATCGTTGCGATTTACGGATACGCGTTGCGATATACGGATACGCATTGCGATTTACCCATACGCGTTGCGATTTACGGATACACGTTGCGATTTACGGATACGCGTTGCGATTTATGTGTTCGCGTTGCGATTTTCATATTCGCGTTGCGATTATTTAAAATCGCAATGCGAATTTGTACTATCGCATCGCGATTTTCAAGAATCGCGTTGCGATTTTGGAAACTGATTTGCGATTCTGGGGATCGCGTTGCGATTTTTATTTCGCGTTGCGATTTTGTTGGTCATTTTGGCAAATCCAAAAAAAGTTGGTTAAAATCGTATATTATAACTTTTTTTTGGTCACTGAGGCGATTTTCTCTTTTATAAATAGCAAGCGGAAGGCATTTTTCCCTGATGGGAAAATAAATAAATAACAGAATTCAAAATTTTCGTTTTTATTTTTTGACTAAATATATAAACGCCTGTAGTTGAACCCTACTTTTGAAATTGACTTTGTAATATACCTCATCCAATATTTATGTACATTTTTTACATTAGAAACGAAAGATCATAAATTGGAAATTGCACGAGAAACCAGTGTTAAAAAATACATTAAAATGAATTAGTTAAACGACCTTAACAATAAAAGAGTGTTATTTTTTCTATGACTTAAATTCAAATAATTATGCTTATAGGTTTTTGTATACGTTGTCAATTACGAAAAGAATTAAACAAATATCATTATACAATCATCCCAAATTATTTAGAAAAAATAACGCAAATAATCTAAAGCAACATACAAGATTTTTAATTAGATAAATAAGAGTTGGAATCCTAATTTTAATTAAACGCAACTCCATCAGTCACATGATCCAAGATACTAGGAAACTGTAGAATAACGTGAAATTGAAATAAATTCTTCGCAAGTCAAATCCTATTGCTCTACTAAAAGTCAGCACTTAGGTGTGCTCACAAGAAAAAGCTACGGGACTACCACCAACAATTTGACGAACTCTAGGTTAAATTTAATTTTTTGGTCACTCTATTATGCTAAAGTTTAAGAACTATTCCTTAATTTCAATTTAACATAATTTGATTCTCTTATCTTTAAAATGCTATTAGTTATTCCAAATTTTTAACACTGTTAGCTATTTGTAACCCCCTCAGACTGATGCGGATAGCCCGATCCGATTTGGAGTGTCACATTAGGGCCACCGGAGCGACCCACCATAGAAATAGCGAAAATTTTAAAATTTTTCTTAAAACATGTAAAATCATAAAATGATTTATTATTTTTCAGAAATAAAATGGGTTTATCAGACTCTGATATAAAAACAAAATACAATCTACATGCCCCTTAATCACATGTACCATACTCTGTAAACAACGCTGGAAAAGCTCCCTTACTGAATTCGATAGATGTACTAGTACAATTCTTTTAACCTGCAATGGTGAGTAATAGAGTGAGCTTCGGAAAGCTCAGTAATACAGAACTACCAGATGATGCTACATGACATGCAGATAAATGAGAAGCCATAATTTCCTTATTGAATCAAACGTATACCAATTGCGGAATAATCTGGGGGTTCCATTAGTAGTTCATCGAGTAGAAGCCATGAATCTCAGTTCATAAGAAACCTTTCATACTATCGCGTTTTCATGAGGTCGAATAGGATATCTAGTGTGTTCCATCAGTACGATAAAATCATAATAGGTACACTAATCAAATGGTAGTTCAGTAAAATCCCATAAACCATATTGTAGTGGAGTTTTTTTTAAACTCGTATTTTAAAATCATCTTACAAAGAGTTAACCTAAGGGAACATCTTAAGGCCTGAGAGCCTACTCAAGATAGATTTCGGGGTCGTGAGGCCTACATAAGAACACATCTTAGGGCCACAGGGCCTACCGGAGAATGATCTCAGGGCCGTAGAGCCTACCTAAGAGTCACATTAGGTCCATAAAAATTTTCCAGCTTGATCAGAGTTGTACCTTACAAATCTGTATCTCCAAGATACACTTTATACAATGATACAAATCCATAAGCTATCACCGTTAAGTCGGTGCATCCATAAAACAGTAACCATAGATTTCAGTGTACCACATGTTAAAACAATAAAACAATTTTTCAAAATATAAGGAACACAC